TATATATGTGTGTATATATATATATATATATGAAGTATTTATAATCATAATTTTAAAAATATCCATAAAATCACCAGATTTCTTAATAAAAGCCTTTAGGATAAATGTCCCCCTTTGGGCTTGTCTGTGGTAGAAGTCATCAGTGTTGGTTTCGGTATGCTTCTGTCATTTCACTACATGCATAAACTGTGCTGAATGGGTTAGAGTAGGTGGTATACACAGCATGAGAGATAACAGTTACTTACCCTGTGGGCGGGCTCTCAAATTCTTCTGACCACTGCTCTTGAATATCCTCTGTAGAAAGATCTACATCCCGGGTGGTGGCAAAATTGAACTCGCTGCCTTCATTTCCGTGGAAATAAATGGAGTTCCCATCTGACTGACAGCTATGCTGTAGATAAAATAGAGAGCATGGGGTGGCTGTTGAATTGATTTTGTTTCTGTTTTACTCATGTATAATTAGAGTTTTCAGGGAAGTCATTACATTTTCCCCTCCTCAACGGACTTGCAAACCAAAAGGCCTTGTTACCTCCTTTTTGCCTTGCTTAATTCAATTATAATTTCTTTCTAACTTATTAAGTCATCATACAAAAGGAGTCAAGAGGGCATTTGAGCTTTGCCATTTCGTTTTAGTATGAGACAAGAATGTTTTAATTGGAATCATGTCCTATCGACACCCCAGTCCTTGTTGTGAGACCCGAGCCTGGTCATGACTTGTCATGTATTTTCAATTCTCTGGTTGTAGGCTAAATCACAGTGACCTTTTCAATATTCCATACAGTTCTGACTTGCCATTCAAGTCTTTCAAAATTTGTCTGTAAATGGAGTATGAGTAGAACAACCAGCTAATCAAAACACGGGGTACTGAAAAGGTCACAGCCATCTCTGCCAGGCCATATACGCTGAGCCAGATTTCAGCAAAAGTTTCTGACTAGAACTAGAGGTGCATGACCATTTCAGTGAGAGGCTTGGGAATCACAAACTCTGTGACTCTCTGATAGTGCACTTGAGAGAGAAAAAAAGCATTTCTGATGACTTATCTTTCAACATGTGTTTTTCAGCTTGATGTGAATTGTCAAAGACAAGATGGGAAACTAAAGCTGAGTAAACTAAATGTCTCCTCAAAATTAGAAGATTTTATTATGGGTGTTTTTGGCAATAAATCATAAAGGGAAATTTTAACCTACTTAAGATCAAACATCCATTTAAGCCTTAATACTCTTAAAATGAGGTAGAAATGGACAATAACTCAACTGGACAAAAATACCCATTATTCCAGGGACATGACTGTTTCACCAGGCCTCAACAATGTGCCTAACACAGTACGTATTCAAAAACATTTTAAACAGCTCAATGTGTGAATGAATTAATGCAATGTCTATGGTTTTTCTTTTTAAAGTAAAAGATACATGTGGAGCTGGAGAGATGGCTCAATGGTTAAGAGCACTGACTGCTCTTCCAGAGGTCCTGAGTTCAATTCCCAACAACCACATGGTGGCTCACAACAATCTGTAATAAGATCTGATGCCCTCTTCTGCTGTTTCTGAAGACAGCTACGGTGTACTCATATACATAAAATAAATACATAAATCTAAAAAAACCCATGTGAATTACACATGTCAATGTGAGTATGCATGGGCCAGGGCATGTACATAGAGGTCAGAGGGCAACCTAAAATGCCATTCCTTGCCTTCCACATGATCTCTTTTTCATTGCCGGACAGCCCACAAGTACCCAAGGACTCTTAGTTCTCCAAATTCTTCCTAAGAGCTGGGGATGTGAGCTGTGAGAGAAGTCGCTGGCCACACATGAGGCAGTAGATTCAATTCTCAGCCTAACCTAACAACAGTAATCCTACTTTAGTTGAGAACTGTCACATGTCAGATGTAGGGCCCAATGGTATGAAAGTGTGTAAGAGGTGGTCAGAATCACCTCTAGGAGAGCCTAAACAAGCAGACTTTACAGTGACCAGGTCTTCATGTGGCTTTAAAAGGATAGAGATCTATGTTAGATGACAAATACATATGTACACAAAGATGTAATCACCACTTTGCTATAGCAGCATGATTCTGAACTGCATTCTAAACATATATCCTTATACCACAGATAAGTTTAGCTCTCACCCCTGGACACAAACGCTTTGCTCTGCTATGCTATAAAGAGAGATATTACAAAATTCACAACTGAAATGCTAAAAACAAGCACATGTAGTACTGTTTTCTCTAGACTCTTCTTCTCTAATTCTTCTCTAATCCAACTGGATTTTGATGCATCTACACACAACCCCAGCTGATCCATCTGCAATACAACCCTTGCACCTCAGGCTTCGGAGCACCTCCTCGGAAGAAGGGTTGAAGGACTTTAAGAGCCAGATGAACAGAATGTCTGCTGTGAGACTGTGTCTCCCACAAAAGACAGGGGAACTACACTCATTAAGTCTCAAAAACACAATTGCCTAACCAAGACCAGAACAAGGACAATACTAACAGTCTTGTTATTAGAAGGAGAAATCACACAGGGCCCCAAGCACAAAGAACTATAGCAACCAAGGGATGCTGAGAGTGGGGGAAATTAGTTTGCCCCAGGGAAGAGGCCTCAGTTGTTTATCCAACACCAAGTAGTCAGTCCTGAAATCCTCTACATACAAATAATATATGAACTGAGCCGATTGAATTTATATATTTAGGGGTGTGTGTGTGTGTGTGTGTGTGTGTGTGTGTGTGTGTGTGAAACAATTAGAGAAGAAGACTCTAGAGAAAACAGGCGAGAGGCCATGAATTTTTCGGCAAGTTGGGAGGTATTACATGCAAAGGATTGGAGGTAGAATAGGAGAAAATAATGTAATTATATATTAATTTTAAAAAATTAAAAATAAACATTAAAAAATGAAAACCAACCAACCAACTAAGCAAAAAACACAAAGATGTTAAGTTGGCCTAATTTTGGAATTAGGCTGGAGACTGGCTGCCCAGGTCATAAGAAGGGCATCAGGAACTCTGACTCAGTTGTTTTAGCTATGGTCTTCTAGAATCTAAACTGGCTTTAGCTGGTAAAGCCAAGTGGGCTGTAATCGATTTGCTACTGAACTGGAATAGTAAGTAGTTTCCAAAGTTCAAGAGAGCAGCAGCACAGATCTTAGGGGAGTCCTTTTACAGCATGTCTTCTGGGCCCTGTCATCATGTTAGATAATACTTAGCATGTTGCAAGCGTTGACTGCTTGAGACTTTTCTTCAGACACAATGAATATAGATTATTCATGGATATTAAACTGAACTCATTTTATGCAATATGCACAGGCATATTGATCAAATGCAGAACTTAGCTCCTTTCGCAGTAAATAGAAATTATCAATTGATGTAAAGATTTCTTCACCATGCTCAACTGAAAGAGAAGCAATGCTAACAAGAACAGCAAAAGTCATCTTTCTAAAACAACCCACTGAGTCTAGGAATGGGCCTTCATGGTTTTCTTCACAGTCAGGAGCCTGATCAACTGTGGCCTATGGGTATCTGAACCTAATGCACAGACTGAGACATCAATAGGGATGGCAATCATCCCAGGAAGTGGCACACAAAATCCTTGTACATGTGAAAACAAAGTCATTTACATTATAATTTGAATGAGATGTTTGTACAATTAAAGAATGGATCACCTAATAGCCTTTGTCATTTCTGGCTAGACATCCATTTAAGAATTTAAATGTTGGTTTCATTCACTTCATGAATTTTGTTAATAATTTAAAACTCTATGCAATTTTTCTGCCCTTCCAAACATTATTATTAATATATGTAATGCACATTTGAAGCTTACCTGAGACAGATTTTATATAAAACATTCAGTCACTATAAAATATGGTACCTTATTGCTAACTAATTTTACAAAATAAACTGGTTTAACAGACAAATAAATGCATATTCCAAAGGCTCTTCCAGTAGCTGAGCATATCATTTACAGCTGTGTAACTACACAAAGTCAGTATCAAGGATACATTCTATCATGGTAACTACACATTTACCAGCATGTGAAACACAAGTAATATTCACCATGACAAGTGTGAAAATGGCAGCCTGAGTGATTAGTATTCAATTATGTGACTATCAGCCAATTTTCATAATAAGCTACAAAACTAGTCTAATGTGTCTTCAACAAGTTTTTATGAGAGGCAGAATGGTATCTTTTGACGTAGTTTTAAAATCTCTTTTGTGCTCTTCTAACCAACTGACAGAGTTGGTAACCAGTCAATTCTCAGTAGGTAACCAAAACTCAACACCAGAGCTCAGTTAAAACAGACAGGAGAAAGCTCTGTATGTCAGTTCCTAGAGTTGGCCTTAGAATAATCCTGCTAGCTTTAAACAGTAAACTTATCTCTAATCTCTCAAGTGAGCCAATGTCCTTATGGTTATGCCAAGGGGTGAATTCCTGAGTTACTTGAGACAATGGACCTACTTTCTAAGTGCCCATCTTTCTAAGAAGTTGGTCATATACAGGTTTGTCCTGGGTAGGAAACCAGGCTAGTGTTGTGTCTTTATTTGAAGAGCTTGAAATTGATTACAAGAAGAGGTTGAGCCCCTGGAAATCAATATTTTGAAATAATTCTGGGTCCCTAGAAACTCTCCAGACTAAGAACCAAAGCCTAAGATGATCCCATGGGAGACAATTCCTGAGCTTATTATGTGTTTCTCTCTACATCTCTGCAGAGAATCCATGGTCTGCTTGCTTAAGGGCTGTGTGAACTTCTCCCTCCAATCTAATTCAATTAATGAAGAATCAAGGTCAAGACTGGGAAGAACATACTACTGGAAACGATAAACAATCAAGATAATAAAGAAAACTCAGGTACTGTGTTCACCCTCAAGGGTTCTGGAGGCTGGGGTTGGAAGGATAACAAAACACACTTCCTCTACCTGATGGCTAAGGGCTAGCACAAGTCATTTTGACTCTGAAGACCTCAGCTTTTCACAATGAATGAAGAATGGAGTCAATAGTACCTGCTCTCTTGATAGGTTGTGAGAAGTTCAGAGATTCAAAGCAGTTCTTTTTAAATTTCTAAGTGCCAATAATATCTCTGAACATACTCTCTTATGCTCTTAAAAGACATGCACTATTGTATTTCGTTGTCTTAGCAGTAACTGGTAGGGAAATAGAATATTTAAATATATTATTTGTTTCTCATTATAATGGTTATTAAAATTCCTCAGATCAAATTAAATCCTTTAGAAAATTGTATAAGAATAGGCCCCTCAATAAAATATAGTAAAGAAATACTACAAATATTCACAAATTACTAGAGCAGATAAAACCCTCAAATAAGAGTTTAATAGCCCTCCATATTTGGGGCTATTACCCACTAGTCTCCTAACAGATACAAACTCAAGAATAGGAGATGACAAA